CATAAAATTGCTGAGCCAACGGCCCTAAAGCCAAGAAGGGTAAAGGTCCACCGTTACGTACTTGAAGCCCCCCGCAGGGTGGGTATTTGGGCGGACGAGGCCTCGTGCATCCAGGAACACATGTCTAAGGGGTTACATCATTGAACCGATTTTAGATTTGCGGGAAGAACATCCAAGAATTGGTGGTATTTATCTGCCACTCGGATCTCAGAACTCGAACACAATTTGACAACAAGCCCGATAGGAGTATTCATGTGAGATGGAGACGCGTTGCGTAAAAAAGGAGGAGAGTGGGCTGGGAACTCCAAGTGGAACCGGTGCGGCAATGATGAACGAGCTGTCAGTCGATCCCCGAACCGGAAATATACGCGATCAGCAAGGCGTATGTAAACAAGAAAAAGGGTGTGTGCGAACTGAATTAACGTCAGCACTAATGGTTTACTTCCACGACAGGCGGAAGGGGATGTGTTTGGGCAGTGTTAAGGAAATGTCCTGTTCGACTTTGTCATTGCGAAGAGGCGATGGGCGAGGAGGCGCGGAGACACGGATGCACAGAGAAACAGAGGATTGCATGTAAATTGGTAAGGTTACTGCCGGTCAGGAAATTTCCAGTGTAATATCCCCAAGGCGCGGAATCGAGGAGCTTAGTCTGCACTGGCAGTGCAAAGATCGTTGCGCAAATGCCGAGAGGATTTGAGCTGGGCACCATTCCGAGTCTTGCATCCAGACATTACCAGCCAGCGAAGTACGAAGAAACCAGCAAGATAAATAGTAAGGGAGTTGAAAGTTCAGATGTGCCAGGCGCTAGACCGTAGAGACATGCATGCGAACTTCAGAGTTCAGTGACGAGGACGTGACAGTTCGGAAGAAGACAGAAATAATATTGGATTTGGATGCCGCAGCCAAACACCCGCCTTGTTTCTTGCCATGACATACCTTCTGTAATCGATGGCTGTGGCTTGCGCGCGGGCATTCCAACTAGCCGATCTCTCTGGCGTTCGTAGTTGGCCAAATGGCCGCTGGCCGCAAATGAAAATTAATTTGGATTCTTGTGCGGTCGAGGTGCCACCGTGCCAGTGGGAGAAAGCAGATGTGCTACGGGACGAGGAACACGCAAGGCATTCGTGGGCGGGCAGCAATGCTCTCGCTCTGTACGGTGTGTGCGCCGTCCTTGAATCTTTCCATTGATGATCCTGACGACTTCTCTACCTTCCTAGGGCGCATTCGCCCCAACCTACGCTCCACCTCGTCTATTCTCGTGTCTGCCACCCATTTCACCTTGATCTCGCGCTCCCTACCCTCTGCCATCCTCTTATCCGGTTCTCGCGTTCCCAGCCTGTGGATCACTGGGGTAGCGTTATGTTCCGCTTCCGTCCACTTCCCCTCGCCATGCCCTACACTCGGCGCTTAGCCAACCAAGCATCTCTCTTCTTTTCGTGACTCCTTCAGGCCTCCGCTTCCTTCCTCCCCTTCGATCCACGCGTCTTGCGCGTCGCGATCGCTGTGGCGCGGACAGTTCTCGTTCTGTCTGGTGTGGACGTTTTTCCCAGGGACGCACCTCGAGTCCTCTCCCGACTCGCCTCTTCCCCCACCTCGATGCCGGGGCCGTGTTTCGCGGGTGTCGTCTCGAGCAGATCATCACCGCCGCTGCACTTGGGCGCCGCGCGCGGTGTTGTCCCTCCACCAGCTCATGCGTGGCGCGCTCCCCTCTTCGACTTTCTCCGATACCACTACTCTGCCTTATGGCATCCACGGCACGGCCACGGGCACGATTTCCTTGACTCGCGCCTATTGACACGGGTTCCGGGTTCCTGACGTGCATGGACGTCGACCGAATGGGTGAGTGTTTCTTCGCATCCCGCTCCGCCTCCCGCTCGTTCCACCTCGCCTCCCGCTCGTTCGGCCTCTGGCGCTCCTCCCCTCCCCTCCAGCCCATCCTCTCTCCGCCCCGTATCCCTCTTCCTCGCACTTGCGCTCGCACTCTTCCGCTTCTTCCCATCTCTCCGTTTCGTTCCGCCAAAGCTGACCTCAGTCGTTATCTTTCCAGATCCCACGATACCGACTCCCGAGGCGCCATAGATCTCTGAGCAGTGCGGCGCGTGGACCTGCGTCGTCGTCGTGGAGGAGGTGAAAGGTGAACGAAAGAAGGAAGAATTGCGTCACAGCGTTGGTGAGTCATGTCATATTTTGTTTTTCCCCTTCTCCTCCCTTCCCTCCCTCGCGTCCTCCCTCGACACTCCATTTGTATTCTTCACTTCCTCCTTCACTTCCGCACTCCTCCCTCCCCCAATCTCACTCACTCACTCCTGATCTTTCTCTTCCTTCTCCTCGTCCGAGTCGTGAGCAAGCGGCCAGCGAGCGGTGCTGATTCCATTCTCCGCAGGCCAGGTTCTCCGACCCCGCTCCATGCGCCCGCGAAGATGCGCGCACGGGCGCGAGCGCCAAGTGCGCGATTTCCTTTTTGGGAAGAGTGGCCACACTTGCCCTCTTTCTTTTACCCCGTCCCTCCTCCATTTTTTGCCTCCTTTATTTGTCCCAACTCTCTCTTGACCACGCATCCCGCACCCGCTTCCATCTGCGCGTCGCCACCTTCGATTTGGTCGACTTGCTTTTTTCGTCGTCTACCCAGTTTGTCCTTCCCATCCTTCCCTCTGCTGTCCCCGCTCCTCGCGCTGCACGTCTTCCCCTTCCGATCCTCGTGTTCCATCCACAGTATTGTCTTCCCGTCCCTCGCACTCCAGCTTCGTCCGGTCTATTCCACGATTCTTATCCCATCCTTTCCCTCCGTCCTTATTTTTTTTTCTGTCCAGAGGCTGACGCCCTCCTCATAGCTTGTATGCGTGAAGTCCCCGTCCATTTGACGTCCTCTGGGTGCAGATCGAGAAGGCGGTGGCCCTGGCACGTGTGCTGCGTGCGACGTGTGGATTGACTGGCGCGGTGCGTCCTGTCCCTTTTACATTTCGTTCTTTGGACGGGCATCTGCCGTTTCGCCCCGTCTGTTTTGCTTTCTCGTCCTTGTGCGAGAGCGCATTCGGTGCGGCGCCGTGCCGGGGATGCACTTCCATCGCGCTATGTGTGGTGCCTGCTGCCCGTTCTTTCCTGAGGGCGGGGGGTGGTGGTCATTGCAGCCCTCTTGTAGACCACTCAGGCAATAGCATGCGCGCAGCGCTCGTTACTTATCTGTGCATCCACCGTGTCCGCGCGGGGGATGCACGATGGCTCATTGGAGGAGGTGAATGTCCGTCCGCTTTCTTAGGGGCAAGGCCCGTATATTTTCTTTCGTGTTTCGCGTACGTAGATACCGGTTTGTTCTTGTGGCAGTCATTTGACATCGAAACTGATTATGTTTTTTTCGACCCTCCCTCGTTTGTTCCACTCCGATGAATTTCAATCGGCGATGATCATATACGAGTTCGCCTGTGATCTCGTGAATCAACGTCGGGAGAGGTTAAAACCTTGGATACAGAAGGCGACGCTCAAGTTCTCGTCGAGCTTGGTGGTGCTAACTTTTTTTTCCCGCTTGTCGTCACTTTAGTCCAATTTATTTCTCCCTCCGGCCGGGCAGAGAAAGATAGCAAACTTCTCTTGCAGCGCCGCTCGAGAATTTTTTTTCTCCATGCTTGAGCTTCGCGTATCCGACTTGGACCAAGATCAGCAATAATCAACTGGGATTCTCACCAACTCGCGGTGCTTCCGCTGCGCCTCTTGGATCCATTTTTTTAAAATGTCTCTTCAGTCAGTGACAGTCCGGAAAGTTCCCAAGATCACCTCAAGTATCCGCGACGGTCATGGGGCCATCGGGTTTCAAGTGCATTGGACACGAGCATGAACACAAATTAAACTCAGACCTAACTGGGGCTAGAAAGTCGGACATTTCGTGCTTGAGCTCCCATACGCAAACAAAAAAAAATCGACCTCACGCTGCTGCGCAAATCAAGGTCGCGAGGCCATCTGTAGGGATGAGTCTGCATTTTTTTTGGCCCAAGTGGAGAGCTCGAATTACAGGTTTGAGGCGAGCATCACATCCTCGTCACCCAAAACCGTTTATTCAGTTTAATAAAATCAGGAGGGGTCGCAAGGACCCTCTGAGAGCCTTCCACACCCAACGAAGAATGAACCGACTCGGGCATGCATCAATATAGTGATACACAGACAGAAGGTTCAAGGAACGGCGCCAGCATCAGTCCAGGCGATTTGAACACGCCGTATGTTAGCCAAACGCCAAGCGGATCCGTGTTCCAAGGGAAGTGAATGGTCCCCAGTTTCTCAGTGATGCCCCACTTGTCTAGAAATTGAAGGTGGATGTGTAGATAGGACGGTGGGTGAGTCGAAAGAATAAAAATAGCCCTATCAGATTCTTTTACGTAATAATTACACCGGTGATTGCCAATTTTCGGCACACCGGACGTTCTGTTTGAAAGCTGAGGTATTTCAGCCGGACAGAAGCCGGTTCTGATTCCGTGAGTTTCAGTTACACAAATCAGCTGAAGCCGAATGCTATTCTGATATTGCAACTTTCAGATAGAACATCCGGTGTCCCAAAACTTGGCAAACATCTCCATGTGTGCTAAAACAAAGCAATGACAAAGTGGGAACAAAGACCAAGTGCCCATCAATAAGTTTCCCAAATTTTGGAATGTTGGACGTTCTATCTGAAACTTGTAATATCAGAACAGATTTCAGGGATACGCTGATGCTGGAACTGAAAATCAAGGAAAAAGATTTTGTATTAGGTGAGCTGAATTTTGTTCTGATATCCGGAGTTCAGAATACAATGTCCGGCATGCCGAAATTTGGCAATCGCCCATGTGAATGGGATTATCAGGAAAAATAGCCTAATAAGGCATTATAAGGCCCTGATAAGCCCCACTAGCTCTGTTGTTATAACTGCCATATAATGCCTTATTAGGCTATTTTCCCCGATAATCCCATTATTACGCGAAAGATTCCGATAAGGCTATTTTTATTTTCGGACAATTTGTGGTGCAGGGAAATCTGAAGTGGGTGTGGTGTAGGGTACACAGCGGTTTGAAGTGGGTTGTTGTTCATGCAACAAAGGAGTAAAACAGCAGATCCAGGTTCGACTCCCGGCACCCGCATGAGTCGGACCTGTTCCATTTTTTCCCCCCTTCTTTATTTTTATTGCAGAGATTGCACACATTGGACATGATCCGAACCCATCTTGTGTGTGAGTGAAGTCAATGGCCGCGGCGCCAGGATCCCAATCAAAATGGTTCAAGTGCCTCTATTCTCAATTTTCTTTCTTACTCCCCCCACATTATGAAACAAATAAACTGAAGTATTCCAAAGCTCACAACAATGCACTACACACAGACAATCCCCGTAGGAACACAAACATGAATACTAGAATTCCGGGGAAGTCAGGTGGCAAGCAGATGAAGATTTGCGCCATCCAATTTCAAGACTTTGATGTTCTCTTCAATGTTGGGGATCATTACCATAGTGCTCTTGCTGTTTCTCAAAGCTCCACTGCTGTGATCAGATTACCATGGCCATGGGAGATATCTCCAAGCCAGAGCATGCATTCTGCTCTATCCTGATGGACATCCATATATGTGAATCCCTCCAGAGCAACTGTGTACAATTTGACAGCTGTATCATCATCATCTTGGGTGTGGAACAACACACTTCCTAGGAATTGGAGAGCTTTGTGAATTCCAAGCTTCCCTTTTGACTTCAGGGAATGTGCAAGAAGAACTGTTGGCCAAGATATACTGTGATGGTCATTCCACTGACTAAGATCTGCGAAGACTTTAACGTAGTTGTGGTACTGCGGCGGAATCTTCTCCTATGTCATCCTCTCTTTACCCTGATTGGCTTCTTCTGCCATCTTCTGTGCCTGAGTCTCTTTTAGGTGTAGATCGTTTTTCTCTGCAAAATCAATTTGCCCTCCTCTAAGAATTCCTCCTACATTCCAGCACGAAACTCCTTGCCCTTCATATTGCATTCAGGTGGACAACGATTGAAAGTGCTCCTTTGTGATCTCCAATCAATCTCAGGGTTATGTTTGAATAACCAGTCATAATCGATAAATATGTGAGCTTTCCCGAGCCCTGAAACCAAGAAGTGCTGCCACTCCTTATGTGGTCCGACAGTCATGATCAACTCTACATAATGAGTGGTCTTGCCCCGAGTGTTCTCTGTTCCATCAGCGTTGCAGGTGATGATGTGCATGTTGAGCTTGTGTTGCTCGAAACCTTCAGCCTTGGCATAATCTCAATCAATGCATGTGGTAGTACATCTGTTATCAAGGAGGGCCTTGACTGCACGTATCTTCCCAGTGCCCAACACCTCTAACATAGCGGGAACAAGCATTTCACGATGCTTCCTTTGTTTCTGGAATTCCTTCTAATTCTTGTGACAACTGATCTGGCTTTGGTCCTTTCTGCCGAACAGCTGCTTCCCTCATGCAAACAGCATTGGGGGTTTTCGTCCTCTTGGGCGCTTCCTCCATCATTTCGGATTGAGCCCTCACGGCATCGCTGTCCTTTTTTGTCTCGCTATTTTTCGCACTGGTTTGGGTTCCAGGGGCCTTTTTGAATATTATAATTTTGCTGAAAAATGTTGATTTGAGCTATAATGTTGACTGGAAGATCACTCTCAATACCATAGCAAGTTTCTGAGGATAAATTTTAGGAATCCGACTCTATCACCCCCTCCAGGATGCATGACAGTGTGCCCTCCCAGAAATCCAGCCAAATTGGGAAAGAACTTGCCATGCTAGAACATGTTGAGCTCAAATCAGGACCCCATGTCAGCTAGTAGAAACAAATTATTATATAGAAAATCTGGCTCTATCACTAATTGCGCTGTAATTATCCTGAAAGAATGCGCCGTAAACTAAGGTAATCCAACCCGAAATGAAGGAGATATGAGGGAATTGGTCGCGGATTCCAAAATGTTTCCAAATTGGGAAATTTCTGTCGTGCCTTCGGTTCCGACATTAGCTGTAAGGTGAGACCATGCCATTCCTGTTGAGAATAGTGAGTGGCACCGCTACTTAGCCATCACTGTGGGCCAGGACTTATTCATCATTGAAATGCTGGAAGGATGGAGCATGAAAAAGGAAAAGGAGCAGCCCGAAGCTGTGTTTGGAATTGGAATACCTGAACGCCAGAAGTGTGGGTGTCACCGGACAAAACATAGAATGAACTGCTGGGCGCCTTGACCAGCACCGTGGACCTGTTCATCAATGAAATGCCGGAAGGATGGGGATGGCCGAGCATGAAAAGGGAAAGAAGTAGTTCGCAGGAGTGTAGTAGGCCATCAGCATGGATTTGTTATCAGATGACAGATGCTTCCGAAGTTTTGGGTCCGCCAGTCCTGAAGCGGAGTTTAAAAAGCTTCAGACATCGGTAATTTTATAAATTTGGCTCATGTTTATGAAAGTGAGAGAAAAGAGAGAGATAAGTAGAGTGATTGATATTGTTCACCTGCCATGACATTCATGGCCCATGGCTTCATTTGTCTTCGATTCTTGGATACCGGAGCGAAGCCGCTAAGATCTTGTTAGGTTGCATGGGACGAGCTGAGGTGTGCCCGTGTTCGGCTGGCGTGTGATCGGACCGATCGCCGACTTCCTCCACAATTCGTTTGTGCCTCGTGGCCTGCGGGAGGCTACCTCGCAGCGAGCGCTCTCGGGCCGAAACCCAAGTTGGCGCGAAGCTACACCTAAACAACATAAATTAGGAGATAAGTAAATGTCCGTTTAAATTTTTCTATGCAGAGACAGATATGCGACGGTGGGTGGGAAAGACTAGTGATAACGAGAAATAAGGCAGCGAGGAAGATGTAAAGAGCGGGGAGCAGAGACGATGAGGGTCCAGGAAGGATTGACAGGAGGTAGGCAGGAGTATGGATTGACAGGAAGCAGGAAGAGGCACGGCAGTAATTAATGCTGGCGCGCTGATACCACGTCGGCCTAATCCTCCAATCGGGGGATACGTCATCCTGGTGTAATGAGCCATTTTCCGCCAAATGAACCACATCGACGATCGGAAAAGCTGGGACGATTCGTTGGGACGTGGCCGTCCACCGGCCCAAGCTTTCGTCTCTTCTTATCTGTGAGATTGGATCCCACAATGATTTACATAATGGATAGCGGGACCTTCCGACCGGGGTGCGTGGTTTACGCTCGGCTACACGAGCCCCCAACTTTGCACTTGTCACTTCTTTCCCTCATGTCAGAGCGAGCGGGTACTGGATCCAAGTCCACTGGGCTACGAGTCGACAAAGCTAGCACCCAATCCAAGCGCCCTAATCACAACACCCTGGGGATTGTCCGAAACCGAAACATCTCCGAAGACGTCACCACTGTCTCGCACCGCGACGAGGACATCCGCCAGATCCTAGATTCTATTCTAGCTACTTATGTGGTTGGAGATCGAGCTCAGAAGATCAAAATGTACGGAGGTTATGGCGGAGACGGAGGGAATGGTGTTAACTTCGGCATTGGCGGGAACGGCGGGATAGGCGAAGGTCCTCGTATTCTGATCGATACTTTTTCCGGAATCCAAATTATCCTTGATTCCTCCAAGGCCAACCGCCAAATCATCCAAAAACTTGACGACATCCTGCGGCTCCTGGGCGTCGCCAGTGATGTCCCGCACGGGTTCTCCGACGATCTGTTCTGGGTAATGGATCCTGCAGGAGGGTATATCCCGGTGTCGTTGTGGTATTGTCACGATTATGCGGTAAGCACGCGTTGGCTGTAACTTTGGAAAGGAAGTTGAAGTGTCATAGGGACTCGACAAGCATATCAGGACATCTCTGCGTTGCTCCCAGAGAGCCGGGGGTTCTTATGTGGAGCGCGGGGAATACCGCGTAGTATCTAAAGATGGCAACTTCATCGTGCCTGGGAAGTTCGCTCAGACAGTGAAGGCCGGGATGCTCCTTGAGATAAGTATACTCAAACGGCAGATTCGAAATCGGAGCGACACCATCCAGAATACTACGTGCCCGAGTTGTAGTAGCTCACGAGTAACTAGCACAGACAACGGGTGGTTCAAGTGGTGCGTCACTCGTCTATTCCTTTGTTATCAGGGTTGACATGGTGATTTGATTTAAGTACCACCTGTGAGAGAAACTATCGGATGGATCGGCAAGACCACGACTCGGAGGAGATTTTGGGCCCACAAATAGCGTATGTGGCCTTCGTGGGATGATATGATGTGTGGCCGATGGTGGATCTGCCCAGGCAACCGGATGAAGACGCTGAAGAAAAGTTATTTCGCCGTGTCCATATATGCATCTACTGGCAACAAGAAGTGAGTGTTCTTGTCTGCTACTGCATGTGGTCGCTTTCTGATCCGTCGCGATTCTTCCTGAAATAGGAGATAAGCTTGCGGTCTGTCTCTGACCGGGCCCAATTGCTCCCGCAACAGCGCGTGAGTCTTCTCGTCTGTTGTGGCTTGCGTGATCTCTCTTATCGATCGCGATTTTCTCCACAACAGACCGTGAGTATTTTCAACCATCAAAGGTTGGGTGCTCTCTCGAACTGAGCGCGATTCTCCTTGCAACAGCTTGTGAGCCTTGCCACCCATTCATGCTCGTGTGCTCTCTCTCACTGAGCATCATTTTTGCTGCAGCAGATCGTGAGTCTTGTTATCTACTGATGCTTGCGTGCTGTGCTATCTCTGACCAGTCATGATTCTTCCTGCAACAGAACGTGAGCCTTCTCGTCCATTGATGCATGTATGGAGTCCGAGCACAAATTCCTATGAAACAGCCTGTGAGTCTTCTTGTCCATTGAAGCTTGTGTGAACTCTCTCACCGAGCGCGATTTTCCCTGAATCAGTGGGCGAGTCTTCTCGTCCATCCGTGCTCATGTACTCTCTCTCATCGAGCGCGATTTTCCCTGCAACAGGAGGTGAGTCTTGTCATCCATGCTCGTGTGCTCTCTCTCACCGAGCATGATTCTTCCTGCCACAGATCGTGAGTCTCGTTATCTGCTTGCGTGCTATCTCTGACCAGTCATGATTCTCCTTGTAACAGCTTGTGAGTCTTGTTGTCCACTGGTTCTTGCGTGCTCTCTTTGACGAGTCATGATTCTCCCTGCAACAGCGCGTGAGCCTTCTCG